TCCCATGGAAGCCAGAAAAAGAAAAGCTCAATTCTTCCTCTGAGGAGGAGAATTATTTCCAGCATCATGAGAAAACAAAGCAGACCAAGAGGGATTATTTTCCCCAAACAAGATGCTGTTTGAAAACACCCACTTGGAGTCACACATCATTTTTTTCTTCTCTGCTTGTTGCAACTTTGCCAAATCCAAAAATTTCAATACTGAGTTGGCCTCTAAATTCACGAGACCAGCTTAAAATTCTTGAGACTGTTGTTTTGTTTTGAAAAATCTGACTGTTTTTTTGTTCACTGCCTTCTTCTGGAGCACTGAAAGACCCCATTTTCATGTGTGTCTCTGACCACAGCAGCTAGAAACATTCTTTTGCTCCCTGCTCTGCTCCCTATTTTCCTGGTTCCCCATCAATCGAATGAATTCTGGAGCCAGGCCTCGAAGCAGGCACGGATCGTTGGGAGATTTGCAGCTGATGGTAGGAGTTGTCAAGAGCTGTTGTCAGCATAGCGTACAAGATGTGCACGAACCATCCCCAGCAACTGTTCCTTCCCAAGCCAGCTCTTCTGCGAAGACAGAAAGCACACGGAGCCGCCTTTCCCAGCACGGATACGTGCCGCAGAAGATGAAACGAGAGCTTACCCTGCTGTCAGTTTGAGCGGCGTTGGGTTTGAGCTAAAGAAACACCCCCGCACACGCACACACCTGCTCCCACACTCCCTGGCTCAGTCCCAACCGTCCCCACGCCACGTTTCACGTTCCAGGCTGGGCGGGTTTTGCTGCCGGGACACGTCTCAGTGCCCAGGATCGGGCCGGGACGGCCAAAGCTCAGCGGGGACCCATGGACCCGCTGGGTGGGAGCAGGTGGAGCAGCCGGGGCCGGCTGCCCGTGCCCAGGCTCCGGGAGGACACAGCAGCTTTGTTTGCCTGTGCGCAGTGTGGGAGGCTCCCCCAGCTTGGCACCAGAAGGTTAGTGCTTTTTAAAAGACTATTGTTTTCGCTCCGTGGTTTTGGAAAAACAAGGAGCGAGCTGGGCAGAGGCACGAGACCCACCCTGACTTCTCCTGCCTTGAGTTTCTGCTGCTTTGGGCATTTCCCTGGCTGCATTCCCAGCCCCTCAATCTTCTCCTTTCCACAGCCTCAGCTCAGCCCCCCGATCCCGTTGAGCTTGGGTCAGAGTCCTTGTTCCCTCACATCTCCCCCTTGTTTCTCTGCCCGTTCTTCTCTTAGTAGGACAGTTCCCTGCCGTGTCAGGAGCACCACCACGGGCAGAGAAGAATCACGCAAAGGTGTTGCCCCAAAGCTAAGACTTCTCCAGCCTTGGCCTTGCAGGGGCATCTCAGCTTTCGTTGAGGTAAACCAGCCCCTGGCTAACGCTCATTGTCCACATTGCTGCAGAGCTGGACCTAAAGATTCGGTGTGAGATGCCTCAGCAGCTGTGGGGCTAATGACCCAAATAAGAGAGAACCCCCAAATATATTTGGAAAAGACCTTGATGTGCTTTGGGTCTCAGTCTGTCACATCTGAGCTGGGGTTGGCAGGATCTCCAGGGGGTTTTAGCTGGGGTCCAACCGAGACACAACACACACGTGCCCCTTTCTTAAGAGAGCTAGGTTCAGGGTTTGTCCTCCCTGGCTTTCACTGTTATCAAACACCTGCCTAACGAGATTTATTAAATCAAATAACTTCTGTATAATAACAAGAGGAACGCAGATTTCCTCCGCTCAGCTGAGGCTCGCTGTGACTTTGCAGAGCAATTAGAGGTGACTCACAGGTGCAGGTGGAACTCAGCCAGGATCCCAGGAGGGCTGGCCCTGTCCCCGGGATGCAGGGGGCAAGGTTGGCTTCATGGTGGTACCAAAAAAGCGGGTGTTTATCTGCACATAATGATTTTTTTACTGTAACAGGATTAGCATGGATGGTGTTTTTCCTTTGGAGGAGTTGCAAGGTAAAGTCTGGTTATGTAAAGGATCCAAACAGCAAAGGGCTGTTGCTAATTGGCAAAAAATATTTAAGCTCCCCACCTGGAGCTGGTTGAGTTTGCTGTGAAGTTGTCTGCAGCTCAGCTGCTCACCAGTATGGAGGCTGGGGAAGGACTTTAGCTCCTGGAGCGGGTGGCTGTTGGTGAT